TCTGACCCTGCATAGACAGCAACGCAACTACCATGTTCAAGGCCCAGAAAGGTAGTGAGGACATTATTAAAATAGTCCATGTGACGTCAGTGGTTCAACCTTGATGGTTCAACTAGTGGTTGAACCACTGATGTCACATGGACTATTTTAATAATGTCCTCACTACCTTTCTGGGTCTTGAACTCAGAATATTCTGAATGAGACTAAAAAATATCTTAATTTGTTTTCCGAAGATGAAAGAAAGTCTTAAAGGGTTAGTTCACCCAAAAATGAAAATTCTGTCATTAATTACTCACCCTCATGTCGTTTCAAACCCGTAAGACCTTCGTTCATCTTCGGAACACAAATGAAGATATTTTTGATGGAATCTGAGAGCTGTCTGACCCTGCATAGACAGCAACGCAACTGAAATGTTCCCAAGTCCAGAAACGTAGCAAGGAGATCTGTAAAATAATCCATGTGACATCAGGGGCTCAACCGTAATTTTACGAAGCTACGAGAATACTTTTTGTGCGCAAAAGAAAAAAAAAAAACGACTTTATTCAACAATTCGTCTCCGCATCACCCTGTAGCGTCATTTTGGAGAGTATCAGCTGTATGTAAACAGCGTATGCTTTTCTGTGTCAACTGCGTCACACGGATACGCTGTTTTCGTTCAGATCAAATCACAACAATGTAGGAAACAGATCCGGCGTGACGCAGCTGACACAGAACAGCATACGCTGTTTACATACAGCTGATACTCTCCAAAATGGTGCTACAGGGTGACGCAGAGACGAATTGTTGAATAAAGTCGTTTTTTTTTTTTCTTTTGCGCACAAAAAGTATTCTCGTAGCTTCGTAAAATTACGGTTGAGCCCCTGATGTCACATGGATTATTTTACAGATCTCCTTGCTACGTTTCTGGACTTGGGAACATTTCAGTTGCGTTGCTGTCTATGCAGGGTCAGACAGCTCTCAGATTCCATCAAAAATATCTTTTATTTTTGGGTGAACTATCGCTTTAAGAGTTTGGAACGACATGAGGGTGAGTCATTAATGACTGAATTTTCATTTTTGGGTGAACTATCCCTTTAATTAAATCACAGCCTTTGTGATTTGATAATCACACTAAGCAATTTTGGTGTTGTGTTGATTAATGGTGCAGCCCTACCCAAAAGGAAAAGCTATTTTCATGTTGTACCTTGGTAGGAAAACATGGTTCTTCAGTGTTACAGTGGGATCACATCGGAGCCTAATGGAGGCTGATCTTCCATTTTTACATGCCTGTGTCGTTTCTCTAGATCTGTTGACACCATAATGGGAAGAACATTACAGATCAGTCTGTTGAGGTCAACAAAAATTGTTTGTGAACATGATTAGAATTAACTTAACATTAGAATAAACTTAACACAGATCATTGTAAGCAAGTACACTCACCTGTAGTAGAACATGACATCAGGCAGCTCTGATTCAACAGGAAAATTGCCATCCAATGACGAGATGTCATCAAATTTGAAGTCAGTTGTCACTCCTGAGTATAAGAAGTTGGCATCTGATGAATCCACAGGACCCAGTGGGATAGGTTTGTTTGATAGAGATTTCAAAGCCGTGGTAGCACTCACCGATTAAAGTATCTCCAATACTGAAGGGCTGAGAGTACACAACACTCTGACCCCTGACCTCAGAAGGCACTACGGTAGACCGACAGATGTAGCCTTTTACATCCCTCTTGCTTTCAGTTACATTTTCCACACAGGATGCAAGAGCCCTGTTCTAAATGAGAGAAAGACACACTTGAATGTTTCATTCTGAGCTTATAACTCAGACATCACTGCATACTTTACACTTTAGTCATTCATAAAAACTGAATCTGGTCTAATTTATTCTCTTACTTCTGTCCCACACAGCGCCACACTGAAATGGTGGACATACTGCAGCCCTTTACTGGTGAAGCGTGGGCTGCTCTGGAAGCCAGTGACATTTGCCAGCGGTGAGAAATCATAATTCAGCATCTCTCCTTTATGATGCAGTGCTAAAGTACAGTCACTCATGCACGCAGAACGGCCCTGTGAACAGAGAGGACAAACATATTTAACAGAAGTGAATATATATATATAAAATAGTTGGAAAGTGCATGATTTGTGAAAATCAATATAAAGAAAGTGACTAACAATATGCATACACAATAATAAAATATACTAATGTAATCATTATTAAAAAGAATAATATCCTTTATTTTAATATATTGTAAATCATTTATATATGCTAAGTTATTTTGTAATGTAATAATAATTTTGAAAATGTATTAATCATTTCACTTTACCAAGTATGCATGAGGGAATTAAAATTTCATTTTATGACAGAAATTCTTATATATGACTAGGATTTTTATACAAGCAGCAAAAATTACAGTGCATGAATAATATGCATTGCAATGATATAATTATGCTAGGGATATTTAACAATCATTCAAACACAAGGTCTAAAAGATTTGGCAACCGATGTCTTATTTGTTTGACTATTTATGCATACAGTGCATTGCAAAATTATTATTTCTTATCACCAGAACTGCCCAATAAATGATTATTTATTCTAAGGGCTTAGCACCCTAATTAATTCTCAAATAAGTAAAAAAATATATATATGAATGATCATATATTCTATACCAATGCATTCAAGATGAATTTATTGCTATTTATTTTTTTCATTTCCCCAAAACTATACATTTACAAGGTCACATTGTAAACTGTGCACAATTTATTTAGCACAGAAGTTATACATAAGTTCTCAAGACTGCTGAACACTTTTATTATTAGTTCATCAATAATGTTTACTGAAACCCGTCGACTGACAACAGTCCCACCTACTTGCCGGAACAGGTACTGTTCAAAAGCTAGCTATATCAATGCCTGACACTTAAAAACAGTCTTTAAGTCTTTAAAACTGCAGTGAAGTCAAAGAACAGGGGCCATTCACACAGCAGGCGTTTGTGTTATGGAAAAGAGCACATGGTCTAGAGACGAGTTTTGAAAGTTGTACTTCTTTTGTTTAAATAAATAATGCTTACTTCATTACTGTAAGTATTGGGTCCGCAAGGTATGCAGGCTTGCTTTCCGATTGGCTGCTCGGGCCTGATGATGGTATTTGAGGGACAGCTTTTACACACTCCTGTGCCGTTCAGCATGTAGTGTCCTGGAGGGCAGGGGACGCAGGCAGACTCAGAGTCAACGGCAGCCAGAGCACACTGACGACATTCTGACGCCACACCCCCAATCACATTAGTGAGGCGAACAGAGTAGATCTTAGCATAGTCAGAGCTGTATTCATTTTTCTGTAAGACAGACACACAGCCATAGATCATCAAAAGAGTTTAAATTCTCTGTTACTTAACAGTAAAAAAAACAAAACGGAAAAGTAAAAGATTGTAGTTTAATCTTACCATACTGAAGATCCCAGTACGCTGAAAACCCCAGGTGAAGCTAACAGTGTTATTGCTTTTAATAAGATAAGAGTAGGACTGCTTCCCTATAGTGCCAGACCAACTCTCCGCAATATTACTCCATTCATTTTGCCCCTGCAAAGAGATATAGACAAATGACGACATTCTGACGCCACACCCCCAATCACATTAGTGAGGCGAACAGAGTAGATCTTAGCATAGTCAGAGCTGTATTCATTTTTCTGTAAGACAGACACACAGCCATAGATCATCAAAAGAGTTTAAATTCTCTGTTACTTAACAGTAAAAAAAAACAAAACGGAAAAGTAAAAGATTGTAGTTTAATCTTACCATACTGAAGATCTCAGTACGCTGAAAACCCCAGGTGAAGCTAACAGTGTTATTGCTTTTAATAAGATAAGAGTAGGACTGCTTCCCTATAGTGCCAGACCAACTCTCCGCAATATTACTCCATTCATTTTGCCCCTGCAAAGAGATATAGACAAATCTTAGACAATTAATAATACTCTGCAAATTAAGGAATTAAGAAATTATAATAATTGTACCATTTAAGAGTTTGGGGTAAGTAAGATTTAAAAAAGAAGAAGAATACTTTTATTCATTAATGATGCATTACATTGATCAAAAGTGACAGTAAAGACATTTATAATGTTACAAAAGGTTTCTATTTAAAATAAATGCTGTTCTTTTGAACATTCTATTCAAACATATTCCACAAAAATATTAACCAGCACAAACTGTTTTTGATATTGATAATAAAAACTGTTTCTTAAGCACCAAACAAGCATATTAGAATATAATATAAATACAATATAAATTATTTTAAATTATAATAATATTTCACAATGTTACTAATTTTACTGTATTTTGATCAAATAAATGTAGTCTTGGTGAACATAAGACACTTCATAAATGTTCTTCAAGCTGTAATTGTAAATGTCATATATACAATGGTATAAAATACAGTCAAACTCACTGCCATGAAATACAGTTTACAATCAGCTGTACACTTTGTTTCAAACACAAATGTTATTCTGGAAAGCTGAACTCTCTCATTGTCTTCACTCAGGGAATGAGGCAGGCTGGAAAAAGGAAAAACAAAATCTATTGAGTAAATTATATTAGCCCATGTTTATGTCTCTTGTATTTGCGTTAATGTTGTCTTCATAATGAGATATTGAGATTAATAAAATTCTGCTATTCGTTATCATATGCATGTGCTCACCTGTATCCAGGTACTGTGAGTGTCAGCATCATGTAGTCAGAGTCCTGATTGCTTGGTGTGGTGTAGATGTACTCGCCTGCAACCTCCCAGCCTGTTACAACAAAACCCCAATAACTCACAAACATCTATGACAGAATGACTCTGTCTACAAAAACTTCAGCCCTAATCAATGGCTCACTTAAAATTTTATATTAAATTATAAAATAATATCAAATTTGCATCAAATTGTGTGGAGAGCTAGTGAGGGGATATTTAGGCCTACCTGTGCTCCTCTCCACGCTTCTGTATTCTGAGCTGAAGACTGGACTCCTCATATTGTTGGGCATTTTGTTCCACCATTTATATTCAAAACCCACGACTGGTTCCGTTCCAGCAGGACACTCTGAGCATTCTAAACACATGTAACATGATTGTTTATAATAGTGAGTTCTGTTATTGATGCACTACAATAATGTACTAAAGCATACATTTAGTGTTATATACACATGTAGTGTTGCCATCTAGAGATAGAACAGAGATGCATATGCTGTCATAGGTGAGTGAAATCGTTAATTGTTGGCTGTTGGCTGTCTCTCTCTACCTGTCCCATTTGAATAGAAGCCATGTGGGCAGGGTTCACAGATGGAGGTGTTGTTGGAGAAGAATCCTGGATTGCATGGAGGGCAGGCCATCATCTCCCCTATAAAATAAAATAAATCAAATCTCTAGATTTGTTGGATTTTTTGTGGTACCTGACCACTGGAGTCACATGGTGTGTGAGTATAGAAGTAATCAGTCGTTGTGCAGGGCAGTCGCTGTAGACAGGTTCCAGATCCAAGTCCTGGGGTAACACACACAGGACAGAGGAAAATGCCCGTGGCATTAGGAAAAACACACACTCATTTAGATAAAGTGATAAAACACAGTAGGCAAATCCCATAGAGTACATGCACTGGTGAGTGCAGGTCATTTACATGAACATTTACTTTCATGAGCTTGCACTTAAATGCTTGATCACATCTATGCAGATATAACGTTTAAAGACCTTTACAAGGCATTTGTTGGGTGACCACCAGTCATTTAAAATAACTACGCTTACATGCATCATGATTTTCTAGTATATGACTGATATATTTGTCAGTTTAACCACAAAATCATTCAATAATTATATCAACAATTCAATATCTTTTCATGTTTTTATAGGATTATTTTAATTAGTACAATTAATGTAATGTTTATATATATTTTTTTCTTCTTTTAATTGAAAGACTTCAGGATCATTTATGCACCTGCATAAGGAGTATAAATATGTTGTAAGTACTCCAATGTTCCACTTACACAAAACATCCTGTAATCATTCATATACTTACATCTTCATATACTTCATATATTTACATCATATACTTACATCTAAGTACAGAGGAAAAAATAACACAACTATGAGCAATAATGAATGTGAAATTATAACAATAGTAGCTGATGACTGACCTGAATTAACATGAACATTGCTTTAAAAATGCTGAGACACACACCTGAATATTTGTCCGCCTCACAGGGTTGGCACGCAGTGGCTCCCTTATTAGAGTACGAATTAGCAGGGCATGGCACACAGCGGGCAGCCCCTGGTTTATCACTATAGGTACCAGGCTTACAGTGAAAACACTCAGATGTATACGAGACACCTGAAGAAAAGGTCGATTGTTATTTACTAAGTCAATTTTTTTTTCAAGCCATCTTTTTTAAGGTAGTGCACAATGAATTGTGATGGATAAATACCTGAGATGACAATGTTCTTCAGTAGAACCGATTTGGCAGTGTTAGCGGCCAGAGAGAAACCTGTTGTTCTCCAGTACAAGACATTGTTACCACTACTCAGCTGCACCTGGTTAGATAACAAGAAGAAAAGGTTTTGTGGCCTGAGGCTTCTACGTATTCTCTCAAAACACACACACACACACACACACACACACACACACAATGTTGGGTTTCCATGTTTTATGGGGACATTCCATTGGCGTAACGGTTTTTATACTGTACAAACTGTATTTACTATTGCCCTACACCAACCCTTCACCTAAACCTACCCCTTACAGAAAACTTTGTGTATTTTTAGATTTTCAAAAACTTAATTTTGTATGATTTATAAGCTTGTTTCCTCATGGGGACCAAAAAATGTCCCCACAAGGACAAGGATTTGATGAGACATTTTATCCCCATAACGTAGGGTTTACCAGGACCACACACACACAGACTTACATAATGGTAATCCCAATCACTTTCTGATATCTTCATCCAGCGACGCTGAGAGTCTGTAGACTGACACTGGTCATTCTGAACCTGTTAGCACATGCATATCATATCCCATATCACGCAGTATCTAACATTGTCACATTTGTGGTTGTTATAAAACTCAGTTTATTCATTTTATATTGCCTATTATACGTTATTTATATATTAAACATAAAAATGCACTTAATACAAATTCAATTTAACTAACCATAATTTTTTTAATTCTGTATATGTATATATTTGGGGAAAAATATATAAAAAATATAGCCACAGTACTTACATAAAACTCAAAAAACATGTGGTTGTCTGGATAGAAGTATTGGAAGGACACAGATCCAGGCTTCTTTAGACTCACAGCATATGAAAGAGTTGAAGTGCACTCATCTGTGTTAGACGCAATATAATCACCTTTTGGGATCCATGTTGAGCTGCACAGATGCAAGAGACACATGCAATGGGACCCAATTAAAGCAAATTTCCACAAATGTCCATTCTTCAGTTTCATTTTAATTCCAAAAAATTCAAGGTCCTGACTCGTCAAGCACTTTTGCATAAACATTCTGTGCATGCAATTACTGTTAAGTGAATGTTGAATGGCTCAGCCATCCACTTGATCTTGAATTTTAAGCACTAGCACCTGTTTGCATGTCCTGAAATGCTGTAGCTCTTATTTTTTTCATACATATATGAGTCACTCACTTGGAGCAATTTGTGTGAGTGTCTCCTAAGTTCATACTGATGCCATGGCTGACAAAGCCAGTGGGCAAAGTGTCCCACTCGTCGAAAGCAGCACCCGTCCCAAGAGAATAGGTCCCTGAAACGCATTTCTGACACTCTTGAGTCCTCATGTCCAGAAATTCGCCTTCATTACAGCTAAACGCTGACAAAAGAGAAATAAACAACAAAGATTAAAGTATCTTAATGCCTTTCTAGCTTTGAAAACCCTTCACCTGGTAACATAGCATGCTAGAGACCGTTATCTAGTAGTGGCGGTGTGTGTGTGTGTGTGTGTGTGTGTTGTAGTTACTCACTGCAATGGGTGCCTTTGACTGGATCAGGAAGGCCAGTGCAGGTCTCAGGCTTGTTGGGTATCGCTACTCTCCATCGAGAGCCCAAAACGTCACAGTCTGTGTACTCAAAATGATAATCAGACTGCAAAATAATGAAACATACAAAAACAGCTGCATTGAAATGTCATTCATTTTGAAAACAAGACAAAAGGACCACTGCAAAATTGAGTTTTGTGCAGGGTAATACATTTGTTGGCATAATTGGAGATATCAACCACATAAACCTTATTCAGTAATGATTAATTTAGTGTTTAAGTAAGAAAATTATATTGTATAGTTATCCAATTAATGTAGAAAAAAACTGATTAAATGATAAACAGGCTGACGTGGAGTGTTTAATAGGTAGCTACTCCCCAAATAAATAAACAAATAAATACAAGGAAATTAAATGTTGATTTGAGTTGGAATTATTTTATATTATGTAATTTATACTATCATAAAGCTTCTGCTAAGAAAAAAGCTTTCATTACAATAATATATTACAGCAATATTAAAACTGCAGTGGTCCAAAGTCTGTCTCTGAGTGCTTTTAAGTAATGTTCACTACAGTTGATATCTGAGATGCACAACTTGTCATTTTGTGCTTCACAGACATAATATAAAATTGTAGTTACCAACATCTTGTTTATAATGTTCCTCTGGATTATATCTCCTTTTAAAATACTGTGTCAGATCAATATTTGCACAATAGGCGGATCCACCCACTGGAGATCAGCTTCAAGGAAGTTTTGAATCCTTGTCTAAACAAACAGTCTTTAGCAGGTATTATTTACTCACCATGGCAGGAGAGCCCGATAAAATAAAATCTTAACATTAACATCTCCAAACATCCTGTTTATCAGTTTATCCTAATTTAACTAAGGACATAATAATCTGTAACAAGATGCTTAAATGCTTAAAGGTGTGGTTTAAATGAAACAATTATTTAGACTCAAACTAAAGTGGTTTGTATATGTTGACAGCTAAGTCCCCCAAAGAACAAGCAGATGGCAAGAAACAAGAACCTAAATTAAACTGACAGAATGGCACCTGAGGTAACAGCAGTCACGTCACTTTCACAGAGCAAATCAGAATGACCCATGTGGAATGAAACAAGATTAATAGTTAACAAGACCTCAATGTGACGAGTGGCCGTGCTTCCTAAGTGCTTTGTGTTAGTGCAGCAACATTAGTAACGTTTAGTGAGAAAGAAAGAAAGAAAGAAAGAAAGAAAGAAAGAAAGAAAGTTGTTCTGAGCAAGCAGTCCACATAATAATCCCTACATCCATATAAATGATGAAACCGAGAAACCAAGGCAACAGAACAGACTGACATTTGTTTCTATGGTGTCTCTTAGGGGTCAGATTAGCTGATGAATCTCTTGCTCCCACAGAAAACAAGTTTTTTTTTTTTTTTCCACAAAGTCAATGGCAATTTTCACTTGGTCTATTTTCAGTTATATTTGCAACAATAAAAAAATTTTAAAATTATATTATTATTATTATTATAGACAGGTATATCAGTTCAGATACACCAACAACAATGCAGCCGTTTGTCGGCTGATCATAACAGCAGATGCCCCTTTCACACAGCTCTCTAGGGCCAACGGACAAGCTTATCTAGACATGATAAAGTAAGTGTGTCACCCATTTCCATGATTATGTTCACTCTTATTCAAACATAATTATTTTCTTGAGGGAAAAGAAGACAGAGAGCTAAAACATACATACAGCAGAAAGGAAACAAGTTTACTGAAAGCTAATACCGATGATGCATGTGAGCTTTTTATTAACTAAGAAAACATCCAGCCCACATCCCTTATTTGCTTTATTAACCGATATGAGCTGTCAGGCTTCTTTTTTTCCTTTTCATTTGTTCCTGGATTAAATTTTGTATGGTTTCTTATTTGTAAAGTGGCGGCTTCACTGTGTATGATGATGTGTACAATACAATTTTCTCAGCATGTAACCAATGGGGAGAAATGATGTTTTCTGTTACTATTAATGGACCTTACATGATATATATTTTTATAGAATGTGCTGGCCTAGTCCTCCAGGTTAATGTTGAGTGTTTATAATGATCAATATTGCATCAGCAGCAGTATTAGCTCACAGATGTGTTATTCTGTTAATGTGTTCAGCCAGTACAGTCTGTCAGCCAATAATTTCAGTGCATTATGTAGTTCTAGCAGCTGTCAGAAATAAACAGCATATAATAAATAGTTCAAACCACTTGAAATTACGTTATTTTAAAAGACTGTTGTAGTATCTCACGTTACCGTCTCAGAAAACCTGTATAATGCACAGTAAAGTAGCACCTACCTCTTTGCAGCTGGGTAATTCCGTTGCCCCCGTTAAAAGTAAGTGAAGCAGAAAAATAACAGAAACGCTTTGCGTTCCAGCATTGAAAAGCACATGGCTTGAATACATTTCTGTTTCCAAAAGATACGTTCATTCAGGAAAGGCGTGTGACAGTAACAGACGTGCTGTAAATATTGCTGGGCTTTTATCCAGACACTGTTTGCACATATTAAGCGTGTAACGCGCTCAGCTCTCCTATTGGCCAGTCTCTTTGGGATGGAATTCCAACTGCAAACGTGTCCCTCTTGTATAGATACATGTCACAGTGTTGCCAATTTAGCAATTTTGTAGCTAGATTTAGCGAATTCCCCACCCCTTTTGAGACTTTTTCCCAAAGTTTAGGGACAGATATGGCAACTTCTTGGACAAACCTTATCTAAGTTCTCATCTTGCCCACTGATCTATATTCATCTTTATATAGATCAGTCAATTTGCCATTATGATGCCATCTAATGACATTTAGCTACCAGTTTTAGCTACTTTCAATTGAAAGCAGTTGGCAACACTGCATGTCAAGACATTAATTTTCGTAAAGATTAAAAAAATTACATTAAGCACCAATAACGCGGCTGAATAACAAACATTATAGTAATGATATGAGGTCTACATTTGGGAAAAACACATTTTAGCAGCAAATTCTGGGGAAATTAAAAAGCTTTTTTTGGCTGTTCTAAAAACAACGCGGTTAACAGCCACCTAACCAACTGTTAATAGAAAAGTTTACACCAAAATGCACATGTCTGTAAGGTTAGTTTAGTACATTTACGTGTCGAGCTGTGTGGTGCGGCAAACCTGACGCTCACTAATTGGTCTCTAGGCAACGGTAGGAGGGACAACAAAAAAGTTCGCAAGATCTCAAACCATCGATCTGTTTGTTACATTCCACCAGACTCATTTGGATATATTGTGGAAAATATGCCACAAGAACGAGATCCTTTTCCATTCCCGCGATATGAGAACGATTATACATTTACAGGGAGTGAGGAAATTCAGGTAATTCAAACTTTATAATTGGCCACACTTTTCTATTTTACACATCTAGTTCGTATGCTTTTTGATTATAGCCTACATTTGTGTTTATATATTTCTCACTTTTTACCTTGCTTGATCAGAAACTGGCATATGAGAAGCCAACCCACCTCGCACAAAATGACGAACCCTGGAGGAGACTCCATAACTCGACAACACAGGCCAGCTCTCGCCGAAATGTCTTTCATTATGACACTACAGTGAGTTGATGTAGCCTTACCTCGAAGGAAGATTTGAATTTGCTTACTACTACTTAAAAATTACCATAGGCAACCTAAAGTAAATCCAAACATGTTCTGATTTAAAGCTTTGTGTTTTTGAAATGTAACGTACTGACTGCTAAAACGTTGTCACAAGGCACCAAAGGACAGTCTGGACATTCATCTAAAATCCACATACGATCATCATTTAGGATTGTTTCAAAACAAAAATCAAACCGTGACGCAGAAGGAAACTGTTGCATTGGATAATGGGTAAGGCCTCTAAATAATTTATATTGAATATATGAAGAGTTTATTTGCAAAAACAGATCACTCCGTTTTTATTAATTTTCATAAATCATGTTTTTTTTATTGCGCTATGTTTTATTGTGTCAGTTAGCTGTATTTTTTAGTTATTATTTAATCAAAATAACCCAACTGCAGTTTGATTGATATTAATTGGAATACAGGATAAAAAACATGTTTGAACATTTTTAAAAACGGAGTTATCGGTTTTTGCAAATAAACTCTTCATATATTTTTATATTAACAATGATATCCATTGATTAAAACTTTACTTTTTTTTTTTAGAATTTCTTTTATTGGTATTTCAATAAAATAAAAAAGACACCCAAACAGCAGAGTGTTATTTAGTTTGAAGGCTCGGTAAGGCTAAAACTCGCAGCCATTTTGATGATTTTTTCCCCCACACAGGACACTGAAAAACAAAGAATTAGAAGAATCAATGTGTGAGACTGAAAACAAAGGAATGAGATTGTGGGTCGACACCCAGAAGGCTTCTATATACAGTATTAAAGGGTCCATAGGTGAGATTTAATACTCAACCCATAAGAAAGAGATTCTTAAACAACAAAAAAAAAGCTACAGAATTTAACCACGGTGTTTTTTTATTTACAGAGTCTCATCACACCGCCTCTACAAACCGAGGTTACTCTCGTAAGCATGATGGCGGCTTTTACTCTACGTAACACGTAATACATATGATATACAAGTTAAGATGGGTTACCCGTACTCCCACAAGTTGGTTGTTAAACGATGGGTATCAGCAATACCACGTATAAGGGCTTGAAAAAAAAAGAGAATAAAAGAACCGTAGATATGCCGGTGTGGTCTCTTCTTTAAATGAATACAATAAATGTGTGATGCTCACTGACTTCAAGAACTCGCTCACTGTTAGAAGTAATGGTGAGATCAGAATCGCCGTTATACTCAGTGAACAAGCACAGCACACTGGACCGAGATCCAGCACCCTGCCTGTTCTAGCATATCTGATCGATTCATCATTTCTTACCACAGTTTCAACTGTGAATGCCCCGAGTTTTGTGAAAAGCCTCACGATCATCGCTACAGAAGCTCCCGAGTCGGTTATTATCATCTCTGTATCCGAGCAGGGCAACAACTCGGACCAGATCAAATACGATCACGGTGTAGGTTTTTAAAATGATCTCATTCACTTACTTACACACTCTCACAAAACACAAACATTCAAGCACACAAACAACCACTATCATACTCACTCCACACACACGCGAACACATTCACTCAATGACCCCACATCCTGGTTGACGTCAATAAGTAGCACTTTGGAATCATGGGAAGCGTTTAAACAACCCTTTAAAATCACACTGCCATCTTGTGGCTGGTTACGGTAAGATTTTATAAATTGAACATGCGCAATATGTGTATATATATATTTCAATTAATTATGTTATAAAATTATAATTCTTATAAATCAGTGATTATTAGTTGATGTAAGTTAAATGTAGAGGAATAAACAGAGAGTACAACTACATAATTTGGACAAGATTTTATATTGATAGAACAATAACCCTGTTGGTTCAGAAAACAAACACCTCTTAACAGGCATTTGCTTATTTAACTAGCAAAGACGGACGTCTGTCGGTCTTTTCATTTGTCTTAATGAAGAAAAAATAAAGAGATCAAGAGTTATTTCCAAGGAAGGAAGACAGTTCAAATCAGCACTGATGTCTTCGGTAATTAGTTAATCTGGCATCCTACGTGCCTCGTATAGGTTCAGGTTAATCTGGAATGGCGTAATGAGTTTGAACGTAATGTCTGCAACAAGCATCACTGAACATAAACAGAGCAAACGCTGACCAAAGGCCACAGACTTTACACTAGTCACACAATGCTGGACCTGAACACGACAAAAAAGCAATCAACTGTATGCGTGGAGGTGAGTGTTCTTTTAAAAAAAAAATGTAGTTAGAGTTTATTCGATGAATCCTAAGTGAATGATTGCTGGTGTTTGATAAAGTCACCCTCTTTTAGTAACTGAGTTTAGTGTTTTTTTTTATGGGGAAAATTATGATATGTGAATTAAACGTTTTTATTATCCAGTTACATTTAAAAAGTTCATTTTAAGAAAAACCAGCAGTTTGTTTTGCTGCTGGTTTTAGCATTTTTATGAAGCTTATTTACTTTGAATACAATATGAAGTCTCTGTCTGTCTTTCAAATATAAAAATTATTTCATGAAATTAAAATGTTTCTGGAGTTATTCATTGTTGCTTTAACAGTGCACAGTCTTTACACTAAAATCTGTTCCCATTTAATGGCATCACTCCCAGCAAGTAGTTTTTATATGACCCTATCACAAACCTTTATACAATATGATCATAATTTGCACGAGTCATGTATTTCAGTCAATAGTCTGTCATGTTGGTTTAGGAGTGTGGAGATGGGACAGGGGTGTGTTTGGTGTGGCTGACACACAAATGGCCCTTGAGCGTGGCACTGTTGGACCAGAGTAAGCTGGTTTAACCCGGTCTTGGTTATAAACACTATGCTCTGGGAAGGATGCCCAGAAGATTAACGTTTCATTAAGAGGCGGACTTGTCAAGGTTCCTCAAATGTTCCTGTAGACCAAACGGTAGAGTACAGCGCTAACAAGGCCAAATTCATAGGTTCACATGGAATGCGTGGCCTGAGAGTACAATGCAAGTAGGTTTGGATAAAAGCATTTAACTCCAAAAAAAAATTTAAACGCAAGTGCGGCCAGAACAAGGATGCACGTTTCATGTGACTAGATTCCGGGTTTTTTTTTTTTTTTTTTTTTGTGGGTTCATGGAAAGTCTGTCTTTTGTTATATGAATTTTAATATACAAAATATATTTAAATAAAGTCAATAGATATTGATAACTCTAAAGGTTTATATAATAATAATTGGTGTTAGTTGCAAACAATTTAAATGTGGAGTCAATAGTTATTGATCGACAATGGTTTATATAATAATAACAAGGGTGGTAGTAGTAATTTTGCAAGTCTATGTATATATTCAAGTTTGTACATAACAGTTAATGCTTACTAAGAAATCCAGTTTTGAACATGTTTCCTCTGTCCTATTGTCTGTAGTCGTATTATTTTAGAGCCTGTGTTTCAGAGGTCAGGAGGTTGAAAATGACTCAAAGTCTCAGTGTTGAGCTATAAATTGGTGTTAGTTGCAAACAATTTAAATGTGGAGTCAATAGTTATTGATCGACAATGGTTTATATAATAATAATAACAAGGGTGGTAGTAGTAATTTTGCAAGTCTATGTATATATTCAAGTTTGTACATAACAGTTAATGCTTACTAAGAAATCCAGTTTTGAACATGTTTCCTCTGTCCTATTGTCTGTAGTCGTATTATTTTAGAGCCTGTGTTTCAGAGGTCAGGAGGTTGAAAATGACTCAAAGTCTCAGTGTTGAGCTATAAATGGCCCGCTTTGCTTCATTCATCTGTTAGTAAATGAAGCCAACATGCATTAGGAGGCAGAGCATGCGTCATCTCAGTCCACTGAGCTGGTTTGATTCTGTGCTTTCATCAGCAGGTGGACATGCTGGCGCTATTACACTATTTCAATTGCATGCTAGAAGTAACCCATTAATTTGGGTAAATTTATGTACTTTAATGTGTATCAAATTTGTTAACTTTTTTTTTTTTTTTTTTTTTTCTCTCCAGCGGCCAGGATTCAGACATCACAGAAAAGGTACAGGCACTGACTATGCTCTGAGTTTAATTTACATTGCGTCATATAATCTGTCATATAAACATGTAGACATACAATTTGCTTGTCAAATAATAACTGAAGATTTGTTGGTGTTCATAAGTCTAAATGTTTCCAATCTTTCTTTTCAGAGAATTATGTATGTCATTCTCCTGTGTCCCAGCAAAGCACAGACAGTGGAGACGAGTTCATTCAGCTCAGGAAACTGAATGGCTCACCCGGTGAGTGTCCCAGTCGCCAGAATCTCCATAAGGAGCTTCTGCTCAGCCACAAGAGGTAAAGAGTAACATCTAAGAGATGTTTACTTTGCAAATGAAGTAATCCAACATAACCCAATACTTTACAAAGAATAAAAGCAAAATAAACAAACCTGAAGTTGAAAGTTTTAAATTACATCAAACCTACACTAACCTGCATTTATCCATACAAACCGTGACCTTTTTTCTTCTCAGAGGCCTGTTGGAGGAGAGACCAGAACTGCAGCGTGTGTTACAGCAGAGGAGGTTTGACCTGCACCGAGAGGAGGAACTTGCCCTCCGACCTCCTTCTGACCTGGAACAAGAGCTCCGTAAGAGACAGCAGAAACTGCAGGAGGTACTGACCAATCTCTGTCCGCTTGATGTTCCTCATTACTGAAATGGAGGTCAAGAGTTTTGCCAGATGAAAGTCAGTGAATTTTTTTTTTTTTGGATTAACTGAATTGTGGCGATGCATTTTGTTGAATGGACTTGCGCACTTCATATGTTTTAGTGTTTTGTAAAGTTGACCGTTTTAAATGTTTCTCCACAGTATGAGATGGAGGAACAGAGGCGCATAGAGGATGAGAAGAATGTTCCAGAATTTGTCCGAGTGAAAGAAAATCTGCGTCGCATAGTTGACTGAATAAAATGACTGAAAGGGCCTATGGAGAAGAAATGCACCTTTGTAATTTTTATGGTTTTCATATAATAAAAGAGAATGTTATGAAATTAAGTTGCATACAGCTATAATGTAGTTTAGTAGTGAAGCCCTCTATTTAAATATACTGTAATGTTCTGTAAACTTGAGTCAAAATAAAGCTATTAATGTCTTGTATAATGCTGTCTTTTTTTTTTTCTTTTTTTTTTCTCTCCACCAGTAATAGCCTGATACTTTTGACTTATGATACTATGACTTTAATATCCTATTTGACAACTTTTGTCAAGCAGGTCACCAATCTGTCATACTTAAATGGAACTTTCATGTTGAAGTCAGTTACTTCCTAGCAACCAAATTACAATCTCCAGCCACATCTCGGCACCATAATCCTAGCATGGTCTTTTCTTTTTAAATAGAAAAGTGACTTTTGTAGTTTACCCCCCCCCCCCCACTAGAATTCTCAAATCGATTCGGTGCCATGTGCTCTCAAAATGTATATATCTTTATAAGCTGACGACAGTTACGACAAATACTCTTTCAGCAAATTACTTTGAACAGTATCGGGCATGTCGTCACGCAGGAAAATAATCAAGTTGTGGCAGCGTGCCATTTTAGACATCATTCATACAGTCCAGAGGACTATTCGCCAGCTGTCCTCTTGTTTAACTCTTATTGTCTCGGTTTTCTCCCGCCGGCTTTGTTAGGCACGCCTATCGCAGAAGAAGCGTGTGCTGCTTTCAAAAGATCACGCACGCTTACGAAGTATTCTAGACAAACATGCGCGATAGGGGGCAATTTCAGTGGTATCGCCCGGTTTTGTACTTCTAAATTTGTTAACAAGCACAGTTGAACATTTTTCCTCATTAACATGTAAGTAGGCATCTATTAATGTTAATACGTATGTTATTTTATAAATAGCAACTGGAGAATATTTCAGCTACATGGCAAACTCCCCCTGCGCAAATACGGTTGGTACAGTCCAGTGGCTTTTGGCTGGCTTGAGTAAAGACTCCACATCCAGCTGCACTGTGGAGTCGCCGGCACACGCGCATCTGCTGGAATGGAGTGAACGGAGGGTGTGTATTGGGCTGGATACGGCAAAGAAAGGTATGGTAAATATAATATTTGTATTGATAAGAAATATTACATTTGTGTATTACCTTTTTTTTGTGGCATAAATGGATTTTATATGTGGAAATTATATTTTATTAAAGCTTTGCACAAAGGCCACATGAAATCATTCATTCGAAGGCATGCGCTAAATCTTTGATAAGCTCTGTAAGTTACTCATGTTCTTAAATATGTTTTGAGTGCATTTATGTTTTTGGGACTTAAACCTACATTTACAACAGACATAAATGCTGACCATTTCATTGCATGGACTAGTGCTGCTTATAAGGTCAATCAACCCTTTCAAAGCATGCTAATTATTAAAGACTGTCACTAGTAAAATGAAATCTGAATTGCATGATATTTATGGGGCCCGAGTTGGTTTCGATGATGATGGCATAATTGCATTATGATTGATTAAATGGAATACCTACTACAATAATATGTATCTTCATAAGCTCCATGCATTTAAAAGACATGTTTCTTAGTGCTTGCGAGTGTTGTTTACCATTGAGCCAGATCCAGTGGTATTGGTACAGCCATTCTAGACATTAGGTCTGTTAAAGTTAATTAAAAGGAACATTTTACCTACAGTTAAAGCCATTATTATTTGTATAAAGGCTTACAGGGTTTATCTTTTTTCCAGAAATCCATGTTATATCTTAATTAACTTTGTACTGGAATACAGATTGAAGTTGATGTCCATTCATAAAGGAGAATGAGTCTGTGTTTACACTGGCAGAGAAACTTACTTTATTAGCCAAAGGTGTTTTCGTCTTTGAGAGGCTTTTTGTCATGCATTCTGATTAATCGTTTCATCTTCATCGAGTGGCATGATGAAAGGAGAGAAGTGGAATCACAAAGACTGTCTTTCAAGTCTCTTCACACACTCACTCACTCTCTCTTTCTCACTCTCCGCCATGTTTTGCATGGCTTCATTAACAATCGACTGGTTTTTGGCTTTGCACCAGCTGTGGAAATAAGTCACACACTAAAATCTGTCGCTCCATAACATCTGCATCCACACGATTCAGCATCTCTATAATAACAGGCTCCGCATACAATCTGGGTCGTGTTCAAATTTCCCGTCAGACTTTCCAAGCTCTGGCCCTCTCTGGGAATTCCAGAACTGGCCGCAGTGGTAATGAAATTGGCCGAGTAGGCATTCCAATAGATCACAGCCCCACAGACTCATGGGAAAGGGTGTTTGGGAATCTGGCGGAGATGACATGAGAATTGTAGACTATTGAAAATGGGCTTATTTGCTGATGTCTCATCTTTACGCTTGACTGCGAGAGAGGATGGGTGGATCTGTTGTGTTATTCTTCTGCTGCTGAGATCGCTGTCAAGAAGACTACGTCCTGTCTGCTCTTCTGAGCTTAATGTGCTTTGTAATCAAGACAGACCTAATGTGTTTTCAGGGTGGAGGTCCTTGTGAGTGCAGTTTGTGGGTTTGAAGGAGTAGGTCATCCAAAAATTCAAATCTGTCATGATTTACTCATCCCATCCCCTTGTGATTTCTTTTCTTCTGTAGAACACAAAAAGAGAAGTTCTGAAGATTGTGCTGATTGCTCTTTTTCACATGTTTACAACAAAGTCCCTTTCAAGGAAAGTCATTTAATGGCCATTTGGGAAATTTTAGGCATGTAAGTGTCATCTACTTGAATGATGAAATACTTAGGTCTCAAAAACTGCTTGCCAAACTCATATTTAAATCACATTTCAAATTAGGAATAAAATCAAACATGACCTGTCCCACAAATGTTGGGCAAATTTGTGTGTGATTGAATGTTTTCATGAATAAATGATTCACTAATTATGTAGGTACACTCTTAAAAATAAAGGTGCTTCAAAAGGTTCTTCAAGCGATGCCATAGAAGAACCATTTTTGGTTCCACAAAGAACCATTCAGTCAAAGGTTCTTTAAAGAACCATCTCTTTCTTGCGTTTTTGTAATCTGAAGAACCTTCTTTCGCCACAAAGAACCTTTTGTGAAACAGAAAGGTTCTTCAGATGTTAAAGGTTCTTTATGGAACCATTTAGACAAAAGGTTCTTCTATGGCATCGTGAAGCACCTTTATTTTTAAGAGTGTACTCAAATTTATTCTGAAATTTCTGAAAAAAATGTAGGAACAACTGACAATGTGTCAATTGGCTCTTCTATTTCGAAGGCTATATTGTGCATTGCAGTTTCTCCCATTTATAGTAATGCAAGTAAACTGTCTTGGTGCATATATACAGTCTTTCAAGCTTCAAAAATGATGCAAAAGCACCATACATTTATCATAAACTTTGACCCATGTGCTTTATTGACTTGGCATGATTACATTATGATTAGATACAATATTTACTGCAGTGGAAACACAAGCGTTATCATTTGTCTTTACTCTTTACAAGTTCCATGCATTAAAAAACATGTTAGTCTTCTGAAGTCAAACAATATCTTTGTGTGAGAAACAAGACCAAAATTCAAGACACTTATTTGAATAATTGATTTGAAATGGCAAGGAAAAGAGCAGCCAGCACAGTTCTCAATATTTCTTTGTATGTGATCCATGGCAGAAAGTCATACAGGTTTTCAAAGACGTGAGGATGAGTCAATGTTGGCAGAATTATAATTTTGGGGTCAACTAAAATTGGGAGTTGCTTTTTGTTTAATAAAGCACAGTTTGTCACAGTGACCTAATTCCTGCTGCAGTTTCATAAGCCTTTCTTTTGCCCTCTGTAAGTCTTGTTGTATCAGCAGATACTGTCCTCTCAGCAAACTGGCCACTCGGGCTTGTTGACACAGAGCTTTGCTGGTATTTTTTCAGTCGTTGGAGTGTCTGATGGAGCAGGCTGCTTTCTATTGTGCTGAGCTGCATCCATCCACATGAGTTACAGAACTGAATGAGGATGGAGCCTTTAGAAGCTCCACAGTCACATCCTGTCAAATTTTCTTCCTCAGAACTCAGGAAGAGGGATGATAAGGATCCACGCCGACTCATTAGTAGGGATGTTGTCCCTAGTGATGTGGGTGGGCAACTAGATTTCCCCCCAAAATAGCATTTATATAAATACAGCGTCTGTCCTAGATTTTTGTGTGCATGACACCGGCGCTCATTAGATATAACAAGGAGCCATGGGCCCTATTTCTAAAACACGCATATGATTGGATTTGATCCTAAATTCCATGGATTTCATCCAGAATGTCAAAGCTGTTCCATAACATCCATACAAACTTTTTGTTCCATATATACCAGTAATTCAAATAGTCCAACACTGATTATGAAAATGTAAAGATAAATAAATAGACAATCACAATATGCATAAATATTATTATATGTGCACATTAGTCATTTTAAGTGTGTTGTGGGTATTATATGATTTAATTTAATTCATTTAGATTACTGATTTCCTGGAATGAATGAATGAATAAATAAATCTGTGTATATGTAGGGATACATTTAGGGAATGTTTTTTGTGCATATTATATTAATGTTTTATAAATCAGTCATAGGAACATTTCAAAAAATGTGTTGCACGTTCACATTTAGGATCATTCCAAGCATATCTTTATACATGAGGCCTAGGTTTGATAATGGTTGATGTAACTTGCCTTTTCTTTCTCAGGAAATGACACCTCTTACTTTTTTGTAGGACTTCAAAAAAAGTAGTGTTGCAAATGTCATTAATTGAGCTAATATCTTCCTCAAATCTTGTTACTGGATATGAAAGCATCTTTTGTAATCCTGAAACTCAAGATGATGGCAATTCAGTCATAATTTAATCATCCTAAATGTTCCAAACTTTAGGCCACTTTCTTCTGTGGAACACAAAAAATTGAAAAAAATGTCTCAGTATTACTTGTTTTCCATATAATGA